GTAGCGTGCTAGCTTTGAGCAAAAGAAGCTCAGGGACAGTGCCCAGACCCTGAGTTCAAGCCCCAGGAATGGCAAAAAAAAAGGGGGGGGTGTTTATATTAATTCACGTTTCCTTAGAAATTTCCAGAGAAAGCAAAATAATTAAACCATCTATCTTGAATTTAAAACCATTCAAACATCGAGTAAATTCACAATCTATGAGTTTATCATTGTATTTGAAAATATATAGAAATATGAGATAGCAAGTACTTATTTGTTACTCATAGAAGGGACAAGCATCAACTCCAATATATATTACTAACATCATATAATACCAGTATGTGACATCAATTCTCTAAAATTCCATAGTTAAAGTATAGCAAGTTCTGTCTTTGCGGGAAGAGCTGCAATGCAACCCTAGTGATGAGAAAAAGTTTCTTCACAAAAGATTGTTAGCCAAACTGTAGAGAAAGGACAATATGGGAAAATCATGTGGAATCAAGAGTTCAGGTAAGTAATTAAGATGCTAAATCCATTTGGAAAATTGTTAGATATCAATTGTTTGACCACACAGTGCCAAGGTTATTGTCCTCATTGATTACTGGATAATTGTAAACAGGAAAATTACTTTTAGGCTGTGACCATGATATTACCCCTGGTGAGACAACCTGACATCTTGTGCTTCCTAAGATCAAGTCTCCAGATCTTGATCACAAAGTAGAATAACTTTAGAAGATGCATAGTCCTTGAATAGTCCCAGATTGAAAACTAAGCTAAAAAGGCACTTTAGGGACATCTGAATGTGGACTAGATATTGGATGAAATAAAGAAATTAACATTAATTTTCTGTTCTACTACTGTAACTAACTGTCTATAACATGTGATTTTTATTTTTAAATTTTGCTGGCTAAAGTATTCAGGGTTGAAGTACCACAATGTGGAGGACATATTTAAATGAATCAGCAGAAAATATGGATGTAAGTAAAGAGGTAAAGCAAACATGGCTGTTCAGTTCAATCTAGGAAATGGGTACACTGGGTGATCACATAGTGATAATTACATTATACCGATCTTTATTAGTTTCTACCTCTGGTTTACTTCTTCAAAATTATCTTTGCATTTCAGACAAAAGTCATGTACAGAGAAGAGGGAAGAGACATTGAAGTTATTAGTCTTCAGAGTTAACTATGGCCCTGGTTGCCCTCAAGTTTAAGGCCAAATCCATATTCTTATATACATGTATAGTCAAGTGTAGAATAAACACTAGAATTTCTAAGTACGACAATTTCAGGTATTAGCAATGAGTGATTGATTACTGAATCCAGTCACCTGGCCATCAGCATTTATTACCACCAGGAAAAAAACCAAAACCAAACCAAACCAAAAAACAAAAATGAAAACAAAAAACAAACAAAAAAAACCCTACATCAATTCAGTCATAACATGTAAACATGATTACTGCTCTTTTAAAATTACATATTCATCATTAGGCAGGAAATACAGATGCATTAGAAGAGTTTAAACATAAATGTCTTCATATGAGAAAGATTTAGCACATCTTTTGGGGAAATTAAATGGGAAAGATTTAAGCCAAACATTGTAGGTCGACTGTTGCTTCAAATTCAATCCCATTTACAGCTATTTTTACTTTCATGAAGACAGATAAAAGACTAATCTTATCTTCAAAATCGAACTTACCAATATGTCTATAAGGAAATAGAAAAAACAGCCCTCAAATTTTACACAGGACATGGTGACTAGGGGTCCTAAATCATAGAAGCAAAAATAAGAAAATAAGTTTGGAGACAATTGAGACATTTTTCTTTGTCTATTAGATAATATTGTATCAACAATAAGTATCCACTAGTGTAATAAAATTAAAATTGTTAAAAATGTCCTTTGTTATAGATGAAACATGGAAATATTCTGAGAAGAGACATTATGATGTTTGCAACTGAACTCTTTTTCAGATGAATCAGAAAAAAAAAATAGAGAGAAACCATGTGATAAAAATGGCAATAGCAGGCTGGGAAGGTGGCTCAGTGGTAGAGCGCTTGCCTTGCATGCCTGAGGCCCTAGGTTTGATTCCTCAGCACCACATAAGCAAAAAGAAAAAAGCCGGAAGTGGCACTGTGGCTCAAGTGGTAGAGCGCTAGCCTTGAGCTGAAGAGCTGAGAGACAGTGCCCAGGCCCAGAGTTCAGGCCCCACGACTGGACCCAAAAAATGGCAATAGCAGTAAGCCAGGCCCAAAGAAACATAGGTCCCATGGGTTCCCTTATTTGCAATATCTAGTATATGTCTGAGTCAAGCAGAAAAGGTCAGATAAGGTGATGTTAGGAAAATGAACCCTAAGAAATGTATTCAAATGTTTTTTTCTTTCATGCGATTGTTTCTAACACATTTATAAGATTATTTCTTTGTTGCTTTGTATGTCCTTCCCCCACAGTATAACCCCTGCTTTTACTGTATTTGATGTCGGTATAATTTGTGGAGGGGAAGGGGAAAAACAAATGGTTTAAATAGGGTGGACTCATTGAAACAATGAGATGTACAAGTCCTTATGTCGAAAACGAACTTTACAACTTTGGTGGGGGGGCGGAGAGGATTATTGGGTGGGGGGCAGCGGGAGGATGGGAAGGGATAGGAAGGGGAAACAAAGGAGGAGGCTACAATGCTAGATAAGAAATGTACTCATTATCTTGCCCATGTAATTGTAACCCCTCTGTACAGTATTTTCACAATTAAAAAAAAAAAAAGAGGAAAAAAAATGGCAATAGCAGCCAGGCTCTGATAGCTCGTGCCTATAATCTTAGTTATTCTCTGAGGATGATGGCTCAAAGCCAATGCAGGCAAGTGAAATCCAGGTGTTTTATCTCCAATAAAACACCAAAAAGCCAGAAGTGAAGCTGTCACTTAAGTAGTTTAGTGTTAGCCCTGAGCCAAAAGCTCAGAGACAGTGCCTACATCCTGAATTCAAGCCCCAGGACTCACACACACACAAATGTCAATGGCTGAATAATCCAAATGATGGGTACATAGATGTCAATTATTTTGTTTAAACTTTTTTATACATTCGAAGTCTTCCAAAAACTTAAGATATGGAAAAATGAAAGAGAACACAATAGGAACAAAATAAAACAAACCTGACAAGTATTGAAAAATTCTACAACTTGTTCATCAATAAACATATGTATCTCATAATCTTATTTCTATTATTAAAGAACAACATTAATTTTTCCAGTAAATAAGGCACTTAAATTTGGTGGACTTAACTATATGACAAAAGGTCTTGCTAAAATATTTCTTTTAGTTAAAAAGCAGCATAATTTGTAAAAGTAGGAGAGAAACAATATATGTTATCAGAAAAGATCACAGAACTAAACTCATACATATAATAAAATGGAAGGTAACCACGTTTTGGGGAATACAACTATAATATAAAAGAACCTATGAATTTACATTATCCTTAAAAATTTTTTTTTGGTCGACAATGTGGCTTACACATCCCACACATTCGTGAGAGATGGAGATCCATCTCAACAAATAAAGGGTGGATGTGGTGCCTTACAGCTACCATCCCAGCTACTCAAGACATGGAAATAGGAGGATCAAGGTTCAGGCCAGCACAGGGAAAAACTTGAGACCCTATTAGAAAAAATAGCTACAGCAAAAAGAGCTGGAGCCCTGGCTCAAGACACAGTGTGCTTGCCTAGCAAGTACAAGGCTCTAAGTTCAACTCCCACCTAAAGAACATTAAACAAAGTAGAAGATATATAGTTAATAGATATCATAACTTATGTTTCCTCATACAGTCACTTCAGTTAAATTACTGCAAAGGTAATACAAAAATGTAAAACAAGTAGAAAAATAAGTAAAATCTATTAAATAGAAAATACAGCATATTTGGTATAAAAATACCATTAAAAGTAAAAAAATTATAACTAGATTCAAATATCTCCTTTGTATCAAACCAGTATATATATGCATATGTTTTATGTAGGTATATATATCCATAATAGCACACATACACCTATATAAGACACATATAGACATAAATATATAAAACCTATGAATAACAGATTCTATATTTAGCAAGTACAACTTTGTTTGTGTGTATGTGTTGATCCTGAGGCTTGAACTCAGGGCCTGCGCACTGTCTAGGAGCTTCTTTTGCTCAAGGCTAGTGCTCTTCCACTCGAGTCCCACACACTTTCTGCCCAGGCTGGCTTCAAACTGATATCCTCAAATCCCAGCCTCCTGCGTAATTAGGATTGCAGGCATAAGCTACTGGAAAACCAGCCAAAAACAACTTTTTAAGTGCAGTATACAAGCCTTTCTGTCCTGACAGAAGTTTGAACCATTACCCATGAATCCCATATAAATTCAGAAGGTATACTCAGGGCTATCATTTTTTTTTTTTTGCCAGTCTGGGGGCTTGAACTTGGGGCCTGGGAGCTGCCTCTGAGCCTCTTTGTGTTCAAGGATTAGAACTCTACCACTTGAGCCACAGCACCATTTCTGGCTGTTTCCTAAGTAGTTTATTGGAGATAAGAGTCTCATGGACTTTTCTGCCCAGGCTAGCTTTGAACTTTGATCCTCAGATCTCAGTTTTTTGGTAGCTAAGATTACAGATGTGAGCCTCTGACACCAACAGAAATGTCTTTTTTTAAAAAAAATGTTGTTTTATGTACTTATTTGAATATTAATTAGAAAAAGCATCACTGTAACCTAAACTAACAATTTATGTTTATACAAACCTCTTCAATAAATCAATGAAAAATGTAAATTTCTTGTTGATGTGGGATTACATTCTCAATTTGCAAGTATTTACTATTATTAATAAATAAGTTCCCATATTACTACAGCTCTACGATGCAAAGAAAAGATTTATACTGTCTTTATGAACTAACCTGTTTTTATCATTTCTCTCCTTTTCTTTATAAGATGATTTGAGGTACATAGAGATGAAAAAACTTCATGAAACATTGCATCTTCATTTTCAAAGTAATATATAATTTACCTTATGAATGGGGACTACCAAAGTTGACTCCACTTTGGCTTCAATTTCTTCTGGACCATAATAACAAAAGAGTTTGCCCTCTCTCAAAACACAATACAGCCTCCTCCAACTAGTTAGATCATCAACTATTTGCTGAAAAAAATCAAGAAATTATTAACTCTAAATCCGTACCACTTTAGCTTTAAATTCAATATAATACTTAAGCTATCAAAGTCAAATTAGCTTTTTATAAATTTAAAATGTGATAGAATAACCCATTAATTTGCTATACAGTAAGGCTAATTACCCCAAATCCAAGAATAAGTTACTATCAGAAAAGAAAAGTTTGAAATTCTCAAAAGCATTAAGCAAAACGAAGGTAATGATTACCGCATAATTTTTACACATAAAAGCATAAATCAATGCAGTTTTAGAAAAGCTAGTCTATTAAAAATTGCTGCTTAGAATTCCATAGCAATTCATCAAATGACTCAGGAAAATTATAAAAATAACTCTCAATGTTGAAAATATAATTTCCCCTTACTGTTCTTAGAACATTAGAAAATGTTGACTACTACCTCGTAAGAATGCAAATTTTCTTTCCTGCTAATGGAATCTTTTAGGAAAAACTATTGATTCACTGAAGCCCACAATTAATTATTTACTGCATATAAATAACTGTGGTTATAAATAAATCAGGAGTAGGCAGCACAGAGGCAGCTTTGGAAGCTCAGCGGCCTAACCAATGCCAAAGGCTGTCTGCCAGGAGGCCCTCTATGCGAAAGGTGTCGGGCAGCCAGTCAGTTTCCACAAGGGAATTCTGCTGCCAAATATCCCTGGACTGCAGGATGGTAAAGCAGAAAATCATGGCTCTATGGCCACCAACCAGACCTTTCCCCTTGCTGTCCTTCTTAGCCACACCTCCCACTGCTTATGTCCAATCACATTTTAAAAAAATGGCATGGCAAAAGTCTCCTCAATATTAGGTCAAACCACTGCTTGAATATTTAAAGGATATTTAAAGTCCTCTGACCCGCTGGTTAAGAAATCCTGCAAATGCATCCTCAGCCATACAAGCTGGCTGGGCAACTAATCGGCAGCACATGTTGCCATATAAGGGAAGCCAATAGGAAGATTCCTCTGTTTGAAAGAAAGAAAAAAATCAGGTTACAAATACATGTTTAATTAAGGCTGTTTCACATTTTGGTACTTTTCTTTATATATTTTATGTATTCATACAAAAACATTAAGAATATTTTCATTTAAAGGTTTACTTATTTCAACAGTAGTCCTATATTTAGTGACAAATTAAATGTGAGAAATTAAGAATGATATGAAACTTGTAATTTATTATATGCTATCATTTAGAAAAATCACAGACCTTTTAGTCTCTTGGTCTAACTTAGTTTTAAAAGTAATTATTTAGTGGAGATTGTTTAGAGAATATAAATGATCTCATTTAATATAAAAATATTCTAATAAAGTGATTTGTGTTCATTAAATTTTATTTTTTGCTCTGATTCTCATTATAGTAATGAGCAAGAAGACCTTCTGAATTAAACATTATTTCCATCTACGGCTTAATATAATCTAATAAACTCCTTTAGCCTTTCCTCTTCTCCTTGCCTTTCTAAGCAAAAAGGTCTAAGCCATCAAATGTAGTCAAAAGGAGAGCATGTGAAAGGATTGAAAGGGAGCTGTAAGATGCTTTACTAAGTGTTAAAGCCAGGCAAGATGAGAAGGGAGAGGAGATTGTCAGCAGGAGACCTCCACAAATGGAAGGCTGAGAGAGCATTCATACCAAAACACAATCTGGATTAGAGTGAGGGAGGTTCTCAGTGCAAGGGCATCTAGAAGTGGTCATTATGGCCATTAGAAGATGTCCTAGTATGAAACTCAGGGTCCCAGTGGAGTAAGGAGTTCTCAGAGAGCCTCAGTTTAAAGTGGTGCTTTGTGGTGTAGTGTCAGATGCTTTTAAGAACAAAAACAACTATGTTTGGTGGGCAACTGAAGCATGAGAATCAGACACTGAGAGAATAAAGAAGCCAGCCACACAAGGTGACCCAACTCAGTGTCACAAAACACAGTCAAGTGAAAAGGGCAAGCCAAGTCCTTGTCAGAAATGGCTGATTCCAGTGAGAAAGCATAGGAAGTTAATGATGAGATGAAATCTTGTACATCATAGCAAGAAAGTGGCATATGATTTAAAACAAAACAAAAAACCAGAACCCATCTTAAATGCTTCCATTGGCCAAATCTAGAACAATTTGAACTTCAAAATGAATTATGATGGTCTGAATAAAACAGGAAAATTGAGTCCATAAATATTCTGAATCTTAAGAAAACATGAGACAAAACCAAATTGAGGGACAATTTATAAAATAACATACTATAATCTTTAAAATATTAAGTTCATTACATTAAAGTCAGATTAAAAGAAACTAGAGTAGCACATGTAAAGGCAACAGGTAGATTCCTTTACCACAAAGAATATTGTTGGAGCAATAGATAATACTTGGAGTCTAGATTAAATAGATGGTGATAATGTGTACTATTCATTTCATGAACTGATGCAGTGATAGCTGGATGATTTGATTCTACTTAAGGTGTATAAACATTCTGAAGGGAGTCATTGAGAGTCAGGAATGCAACTTGGCATTGTGTAATTTTCTTGAAAAAGACACTGACATTCAACTTGCAAGTTATTTTTTTTTTAAAGTTTGAGGTTATTTTAAAAAATCAAGAAACATTTTGATATTCTAATAAAGTGTGAGAGTAGGTATTTATTTCTCCTATCTATGTAGAAAAAAAACTCTGAATAATTTATCCTATGCAACAGGGTACAATAAAAATCCAAACATGGCCTTTAAATCACATTGCTTCATACACAGATGATTTTAAATGATTTTTAATATATATTTTTATTGTAAAGATACTGTACAGAGGGGTTATAGTTACACGAGTAAGGTAATGAATACATTTCCTATCAAGCATTGTTACCCCCTTCTTTGTTTTTCTAAAACTATTTTTTGTACAAAAGTGTGGTAATGCAGTTTGAACTCAGAGCCTTGCACATGCACAGCTTGTCTGCCCATGGCTGGCACTCTACCACTTAAGCCATACTCCAGCCCCGAAATTATTCTTTAAGTTCTCAAAACTTAACCCTATTGTCAGTTATCTGTATAAAATAGCCAGTCATTACCTACAAGTATTGTTTACCTGAAAGTCTGAGTAACTCAGGAAAAAATATTTTTTATATAAACACACTTACTCAACATATAGGTATAAAGGTAGTCAACATTAAGGCTATTGGTTAAAGGGAAAAATCTGCTCAAATAAAAAGTACAAAGTAAAAGAAGTTTTTTATCCACTCACCAATAGAATATTATACTATACAAAAGCATACAATTTTTTTTCTGAGATTAATCCATCTTTTTTTTAAGAATTTTTTTTGTTAAAGGTAACCTTGGAGAAATAAGTGCATAAATACAATATATGCAGTGATTCCAAAATGCAAACATAAATAAACAGGTTACCTTTCCTAAAATCAGTAGGAAATGAAATAAAAATTCTATGAAGTCATGAATCTGAGTAGCACATCAGCAATTTTTTTATAAGGGAAATTTCAGATTTATGAATGGCTTATTTTCTAAATATCTATAACTTAGTTGTTTTTAAGTTAGAATGCATCTCCTAAAGAAATAGAATAAAAATGATTAGATTCTCAGTCTAGTGCATAAAGTTTGCACAATCAATAATGTACCTGGAACTTAAATACCACATGGAAAAATGTATTCTCTCTAGCAAAACACACTCACATTTCATGGAATGAAAACTTAAGGAAAATAATTCCTTCCTGACTGCAGTCTATGAAAAGGGATACTGGACTTAGAATTCCTTACTTTAAAACCCATTTACCACTTATCCTGCAATAGCCTAGGTTTCTTTATAACTTGGAAATGAAACAGGATCACAATGTCTCTATGCTTCTGATAAGAAATATGGCACCTAACTTAGCCATTTTGCATATCTGAGTTTCAATTTCTCATAATTTAAAAATATTACTGATCTTAAGTAGTGTTGTTATAAAAATCCAGTACATACATATTTGACATCTATCATGTGTCCAGTACATAAGAACTGCTTCTCTTAATTTGATACCTAGGACAGTCTTACTCCCAAACCACACACTTTCCATTTTTCAGTAATACCTCTCAGTCCTTGTGTTATACACTAATTAAAAGACTTAACTGTTTTCTAATAGAGGACATATGTGGAAAAGACAAAATGAAAGAATGGTTTGAGATTACATTACCTATTTATCTAATTAATTCATAATTTCAAACAGGAAACCAAAAGGAGTTTAAAAATGGTGAGACAACCAAAACCTAGACTAGAGAATGTCAGCTAAAGAATATTTTGGCCATATGTAGGGAAATCTTCATGATGTAATTTCATCAGCTTATGAAAGTATCAGAGTTTCCTGATGAGGACAAATATAAACCTTCAGGCACCATCGGGCTATTTTCTTGAATTATAAAGAATAATACAATTTTCAAAAATTGTGCACTTCCTCTTAACTGTATAGTATTTGATAGAGTTTGTCATAACTTTATTTAGGAAAACTCAAAATACATAGATTTGTAGTAATAACATCTAAAGAATCTATAAGCTCCAAAGTCAACAGATCTGAATTTTATTGTTTTTCTCATAACGATCAAAGAGAGTATGATAGATGTGCAAATATGCCCTTATTTTTCCAAATTGCTAATTTGTCTTCCTGCTGCTTGCCAGAGAAGCTACTTCTTTTATTTTTTTTTATTTTTCACAAATTACAAATGATATGTTTGCAATGGAGTTTACAGTTAATATCATGGGATAGGATAGATAACATTATAAATTTAATATTTTATTGTTTTAAAGCACAGGTCTTTTCACACCCTTTATTTAACATGTAGGTATTATATTTCCTGAAGAAAAATATTTTCCACACTTATTTGCCCATCAATATTTTGTCCAAGTAGAATCTGGAAATAGTTTACAGAACACTGAGGACAACCAAGGAAGGCCATTGCGGAGTTGATTTTTTGTGAATTGTAATCCTTTCACCACTTTTCAGCTGACTTGTTTGAAAGAATGAGGCCTTTCATTAGCTCCATTACCTTCATACATCATAATATTGTGGTCTTGGATAGGACTATAATAGTAATGATGCCTGACAGCAAAGCCCACCAGAGCAAGCACAATCTAGCTTTGACTGTTAGTCTTTGACTCAACTACTTACTAACTACATGCTCTAACGTATTTCTCAGTTCTCTAAGTTGTATTTTAGCACCTGTAAAATGTAAATGACAATCAAATGAGGACATTCGGAAGGTTTCAGAGCTACCCTGTGGTAGAACTAGAATATAAATCCAAGACTGGCTTACTCTACAGTCCCCATTATTAATAACTGAATTAGGACAAATCCATACAATGGCATCTTACAGAGTTTAAGAATAAAAACTGCTTTTAAAGAGTTTAGGATGGTTTCTGACACATTAGTTCTAGAGGACTGGAACTAATTCTTAGCTTTTCAGATCAATCCTTATACTGAAAATGATGAAAACAGCTGAATGAAACATAATTTGTTTTTCTAAAGCAATAGGGGCAACAAGAGGGCCTAGGCTGGTCTCAACAGAAATCTTGTTTCTACTTTCTGAGTAGCTAGAATTACAAGAGTGCCACCAAGCCTGGCTACTCTTATTAAAAAAAAAATAACAACAATGGATGCAGGGTAAGGAAAGTGACACAGCAGATATCCAGTAGAATTATTAGAGCTGAGAAACACAATAACTGAAATGAAGAAACTTACATAAGGGTTTAATAGCAGATCAAGCAGAATTGGAGCCACAAAGGGGTAAGAATCGTAGAGGATACAATGAAGAAAATGATCAAGTATTTAAAAGGCACGAAGGAAAAGAAAAGCAAGAAAAACATACAGAAGTTGTCTGAATAGTGAGGTTTTTATCCAACTATAAATCATCAATCAACAATTATAAGATAACTTTCAAAAGTAAAGCAAGGGGCTGGGAAGGTGGCTCAGTGGTAGAGCGCTTGCCTTGCATGCCTGAGGCCCTGGGTTTGATTCCTCAGCACCACATAAGCAAAAAGAAAAAAGCCGGAAGTGGCGCTGTGGCTCAAGTGGTAGAGTGCTAGCCTTGAGCTGAAGAGCTGAGGGACAGTGCTCAGGCCCATAGTTCAGGCCCCACGACCGGACCCAAAAAAAAAAAAAAAAAAGTAAAGCAAAACTTTTGATATGAAAAGAATCTATTGAAAGTTATCATGATGTTAGGCAAAATTAGACTCAGAAAGACAAGTATCATATGTGGAACCTACATTTAAATAAAGTAGAATGAGTACTATTCATGAAGATGGCTGAGGGTGAAGGGAGAGAGGGTAACTAAGGAGTTAATATGATCAAGTATATTATATACATGTATAAAGAGTTCTAATAAACCCATTAAAATGTACACAAAAGAAGGAAGAAGTTTTATGGATTATATTTTAAAAAGGAAAACTATCTTAGGTCCAAGATTTAAATCTTAAAAATAAACTTTATTTTTAAACTTTAAAAACTAAAAGAATATAATATATATGAGCACATAGATTAGGGAAATTGAGCATCACTGTTCTAAAGTTCTTCCTTACTCACTCTGAGATGAAAGAATAATTATCTTTTAGTCTTGAAAAAGTATGGTAACTAAATTTTTTAGGGTTAACTTCTAAAAATGACAAAAGGACTGTACAAAAGGAGAAGATTCAATGGATAAATGTAATCTATCTTAAAAATTAAAAAAGAAAAAAGTTCATTACTAAAAGATAAATAAGCATAGGGAAAAAATAGAAAATTAAAATTATCATGGTATAATATATAGCCGAATATATAGCTATACATTATTGTATACTAAAGGACTAAAAGCTCCAATTAAAAAAAGATTTAATTGACTTAAAACCCTATCTGAAGAATATAAGATCTATAATGTAAAAATAGACAAACTCACATAATTCACCTGATAACAAAAGCTGAAAAAATTAAAGGAAAAATAGATATAACTATGAGACTAGAAGTCATAATCATAGAATATTTTATTATAATTTATAGTAACATAGAATATGTACAGTACAACCATTATTCCTAAAAATATTACCATACATACAACATATTAGTGAATAATAAACCAAGCAAACTTATTTCAAGAACAAAAAAGGAGAAAACCAGAACAGCTAGAACTTATTAAAAAGATAATTTTCCAGGTACCAATGGCTCATTTCTATAATCATATTACCCAGGAGGCTGAGACCTAGAAGATGGTTGTTAAAAGCCAGTCCATGCAGAAAAGTTGTAAGACTATCTCTTTAACCAGTAAAATGCCCAATTGGAGGCATAGCTCCACTAGTAGAACAGTGAACAACGAAGCCACACTAGAAAGAGAGGCCCTAAATTCAAGCCCCAGTATCCACATCAAAACAAAACAAAAGGGGCTGGGAAGGTGGCTCAGTGGTAGAGCGCTCGCCTTGCATGCTTAAGGCCCTGGGTTCGATTCCTCAGCACCACATAAGCAGAAAAAAAAAAGCCGGAAGTGGCGCTGTGGCTCAAGTGGTAGAGTGCTAGCCTTGAGCTGAAGAGCTGAGGGACAGCACCCAGGCCAAGAGTTCAGGCCCCACGACCGGACCCAAAAACAAAACAAAACAAAACAAAAACAATTAACCCAGCATTAAAGATAGAATGCTATAATCATACAATGAAATATTAAGGGATACAATTCATAATGAACAAAAATAAATTATATCATTTCCCAAGATGGAATAATATGATTACACCCATAAGTTCAAACCAGACAACATTAGATATACATATGGCAGGACCAAAAAGAAAAGCAAAAAGCAAACACCATAGACATATCTATACTGCCATAAACAGGGAAAGTGGTGTCTGCAATGGCACGTTTTTGGAGGGATACATTTCATAATTATTTGTTATAAACTGTACATTTACACTCCATGAACTATTCTACTGTTCTAAATGTAATGTTTGCAAATAAACTTAAATGCTGTGAAATCATCAATCCCATTTCTATGGAGCATCAATCTTTACAACAGTAAGTACATTTACCACATAATTCTATATATTTTCTCCAGAAAATGAACAAGTATATAATTCAAATCAGATTTATGAGCTACTTTTCTAACATTACTCTATATTTTTTATGACAGGTAAAATAATCAGTTAGAGTGACCATACAAAGTTTATAAATCCTTCTTTTTTCCTAACCTCCTTTTATACTTTACTATGTATTTCTTTAGACAAACTATAATGACCACTTTTACAAAAAGAAAAGGCTAAGGATTATTTTAGCTCCACTTTTTCTTATATCTTCTGCTTCCTACCAAGAGATGAGTTGGTGTCCTTAATTTCAAAATGTACAGCTAGAAGAGTGGTGAGTCATCACGTTAAAGGCAGAGATAAGGCCTCAAGCATACCCCACACCTTATTACTCTTACTAAGGCAGCTTAAAAATTTTCCCTTTGGGGAAAGAGACAGACATTCTTAAAAGAACCCAGAGAATCACTTATCTCTACATTACTTAGGCTAATTATCCACTCCAAAAAATACAGAAGAATTAAGTTTATCACTGTAACTACACATACACACACACATATATTAAATAATACATGCAAAATATATACTTACCATTTCCGCTAATAGAGAGATTATGGGTCTTGAAGCTATCTTCAGCACTTTCCAAAGTTAAGGTAGTGTGAGCTAGCAAATTATACTTTGCACCACTGACAGAAAGAAAACATGTTTTAAATATTTGTGTATGTCCTGTATTAGATAAAACATTTAACAATTTAAAGCCAAATAATAAACAACCTGACTTGAAGAATGAGCAAAGAACTTTGACATTTCTATAAAGACACAGAAAATGCCAGTAAACACATACTGAACATCACTAGTCTCTTGAAATTCAAATCAAACCAGAATATGTCACCATTTCACATCCATTAGGATAGCTATTAGTAAAACTAGTAACAAAACAATGAAACAAAAGGGAGGAAAAATAAAGAATATTGGCTGGGATGTGGAGAAACTGGAACCTCTGTGCACTGCTAATAGGAATGCAAAACTGTATAAATGCTATGGAGAAAAGTATGACAATTCCACCAGAACTTTAAAATTCAATATGATCCACCAATTTTCAATATACACTCAATAGAAGTGAAAGCAATGACATGAACTGTGTTTTTTTTGTTTATAGTAGCATTACTCACAAGAGCCAAAGGATAGGAAAAAAATGTCCATCCAACAATAAATGAATAAACAAAAGGTTCTATATATGTACTATAAACTACTATTCAGTCTTAAAAAGGAAGAGAATTTGGATACAGGCTACAACATGGGTGAACTTTGAAAATACTACGCTAAACCACAAAAAGCCACCTACTGTATGTATAATTTTACTTATAACAGGTAATTATAATATCAAACTCATAAAAATTCAAAATGAAATGGTGGTTATGAGAGCTATGGGATGAAGGAATGAGAAATCGAGTGATTAATGATACAAAAGATCAACCTGGACAGATAAAAAAGTTCACAAGATGGTCAGAGATGATAGCTGTGAAACAATGTGAGTGTACTTACAATGTCTCTGCACTGTGTACTAAAAACTGTTACACTATTGAAATAAAAAACTAGGTTATTATCCACCTGTGTGGTATATGCTTCTGTAATCCTAGCACTCCAGAGGTAGAAGAAGGGTTATGAATTTAAGGCAAGCCTGGGCTACAAAACAAGAACCTGCCTTAGTAAACAAGCAAACAGAAAGATACTATAGATCACACATTCAAGACAAGATGCTAATCAATTTAGCACACTTATCTCTTTATATTTTTGTCAGTAACTTGAAAATTATTTACTTCAAACCAATACTTTTATGAAGAGTCTCCATTCATTCAATAGCTATTCACTAAATAAGATATGCCAAGTCCTAAGCTAGGCTATGAACATTCAGCTGTAAACAAGTTCCGGCACTATATTCTGTATAGGCATAGCAATATATAAAATATCAGTAATTCCAAGTTGTAATGCAATTTCTTCTATGGAAAAAATACAGGGAGTGAGAAAACTGAGAACCTAGGTTCAGGAGATAAATTAGGGAATGTGTTCTGAGGTGGTGATAGTAACATGGTTAAAAGGGATCTAGCCAAGCAAAGAATGCTTCTGCTTCCAAGCAGAGGAAAATGCACATGCAAAGAGGGGTATTGAAAAAAAAAAACACAAAAACCATGGCTAGAACACAATGAGTGAGTCAGAGTTACAGTGTAACACAAGGCTGGAAATACAAGTAGAATTAAATCACCTAGGGCTTTGTGAGCCTTGGAAGAAGAGTGGTTTAAATCAGTGTAATGGGAAATCAGGATAAGTTGATGAGGTAATAGACAGGATATGACTTGCAATTTCTCCGGGTAAGATCTGACAATGATTCTCTCCTTACCTCAACTCTAGCCCTGCTTCCCTGAGCCCTCTTCTCATATAGGCCTCCATGATGACTTACCAACACTTGAGCAAAATACTAACATTGTTTCAAACAGCTCAACATTGCATCCATAGAAATCTCTTAACCCTTCTTAAGATTAGCTGAGAAAACTCATAGCGGCCAAAAGAATTTAACGTGTGTTCCTGTCAACACCTGAAGACAGCACTACTGTTCCCCAGTCTCTGTGAGAAGCCAACAGCCTGACCCACAGCCATAAACACCAGTTGGCAAGCCCAGACTAGACGCACACCTCCCCTCGTGGCTGCTGAAATGCTTTACCAGACTCTGGACCAGCTCATCACCTCCTCATCTTCTTGTTTTCCCTGTCAGATCTTACTGGAGTTTTCTCCCTATTACAATAACATATTACTAATTAAAATCTGTCCTTACCATTTTAACTAGTGTCCATCTTTGTTTATCTTTCAAAAAGTGAATCTCCTTCTGGTTATGTACTTCAAAAATTTGGAGATTCTATCTATAGTGTGAGAAAATGGAGGACTTCATTACTAATGTCATTTTTCTTTTCTTTTCAGTAGCATCTCCTTTATGCTACTTAGGTCAAAATAGTATGCTTGTCAAAAAACCCGGATATTCTGGTGATAAATTTCACATCCTGCCACTGTTAAAAAATGAAGCAAATTTTTGTTCAATAACTGCATTTTCTGTACTAGTAATTTCATTTTGTTACTTTTCCTGGTTTTGTTATTTTCTAGCATAGTATAACCTCAAAATATGAGTAAGTATATTAACACACCAACACTTTCTCTCTCCTCTCCTCTCTCTCTTCCTTTCACTCCTCCCCCCTTTCTCTTTCACACACACACACACACACACACACACACACACACACTCACACATATACACATGCACACATACATACATTCTGACATTCTAGGGCAGGGAAAAGAGGTAGGGAGAAGAAAAGATAGAATGAAAGGGAGAAGAAGAGGGAGAAAAAGATAAACTTTGGAGAAAAGATTGATGTCTGATGAAACTTTTATTAATTGTATCAGATGATATGTTTCAAAAACATGAAACTTTCTTTCTAAATCTTTTAAATAGCAATACACATGCATTTAATATATCACAATGTTTGTATCTGCTTCTTTAACACATGCATACTTTTCCTCTAGAATATTATTCTTTTGGAGAATGACTTTCGGTTTTTAATGCACAGCCATTACAGACCAGAGATACAATTTAATATGTAGTGTTTTTATTCAATATTTTTACAGAAAAATTTATATTTCTAAATCTTAACCTGACATTTAAATAAAACAATACATGAGTTAGACATTTACATTCAGAACAACCAGTTAGAATGTTACGCTAAAGTTCAATAAGAACCAACAAATCTCCACTGATTTTAGAACTAAGCTCATACTAACCTCATAGTCCCAACTATTCTCTATTATTATTATCTTAACCGGTCCATGTTTCTAGGGAGGCTTTAATAATTAGGTCTTTTCTCTAGTGTCTACACAATGAATCCCCAAAAAGTGAAGAAATTACTAAAGAAAGATGGAGAATCAAAGTAATTAATAGCTATATGGTATTCAAGGTACAATAGTTAGTTTAAGCATTGTCTCAAAATGTTTATTTATCATTGCTACATTATCTTATGGAGAAACTACATTTGATTTTTTTGTGGTTTTTTTTTGTTTGCTTTTGATTATGTGGTTCTGAGGAATTGAACCCAGGGCTTCATGCATGAGAGGCAAGCACTCTACCACTGAGCCAACTTCCCAGCCCTTACATTTGAAAAAAAATAGATGAACATTTTTTTAACCAGTCCTGGAGCCTGAACTTTGGGTCTGAGCGCTATCCCTCAGCTCCTTAGCTCAAGGCTAGCGCTCTACCACTTGAGCCACAGCACCACTTCCGGCTTTTTTCTTTTTGTTTATGTGGTACTGAGGAATCGAACTCAGGGCCTCATGCATGCAAGGCAAGCACTTTACCACTGAGCCACTTTCCCAGCCCCTAGATGAACATTTTGCATTGACAAAGTATTACAATTTTCCCACACGAAATAATGGGAAATAGATTTCCTATTAACATTTTAATGAACAATATGTTATCTTTAGGAAAAGATTATTGACCATTAATAGAACTGCCTGTATTTTCCAAGAGAATGTTGCATGCCAACATTCTCTTAGGAAGAAGAAAAACAGAAAAGAATATATAAGGTCTAAGACAACAACTAAAAGTAAAGAGGTAAAGAGCTTAAGGTGATGAGTGTTATCAGATGGGCAAGGAAAGGAACACTTGTGCAGAGATCTCAATGGAGAAATAAACCATGACAACAACAGAGGGAAAACCGTTTCAGGAAAAAGATGGTAAGTATAAAGGCCAACATAAACACATGCTAGGTATGCTTGATAAACAATGAGTTCAATGTGACTAGAGTATAGTAAGGGAGAAAATGATGGGAGATATTCAAAAGGCAAACAGGGGACAGACACCACACACAGGCATAAGAAAACACTAGACTTTATTCAGAATAAGATGTGAAGCAAATGGTGTGTTTTGTGCAGAGAATGTGATATCATCTGATTTGAATGATAATCAAATAATCCACTGACCATTCTGTGAAGCACAGATCACAAGGATAAATATAAAAATGGAGACCTCACTAGGGAACTACTGCATTGGATCAGACAAGAGCTGATACAGGCCTAGAACAGGGCGGTAAGAAGTGGTAGACTACTTGATATAATCTCAAAGTTGACTCAATGTGAAAACTGGATGTGAAAAAAAAAAGTCAGCATATCCAAGGCTTCTGGTCATAACAACTAGAAAAATTGAATTTTTATTAATTAAAATGAGGCAGACTGACAGAGAAGTAGGTAGGAAAAGAATTTGGTTTGAGGAAAGTAAGTTTGATTGTTCTGGAAATCCAGATGTAACACTGGGCAGTCTGATTGAAACATCTAAATGTACATGTGGGTACATGAGTCTAGAGACAAGAGGAATACATATTGTGGATACAAATTGGGGTATCCACAAATTGCGGTAGATCTACAGTGTAGATGAAAATGTAAGTTACAAAGTTAAGTGATGTCAAATAACCAACTACTCCATTATTTCAGACTAAGCTGAAGAGAAATGAACAATGACGAAGAACTCACCGAGTTAGAAGGATAATCTACGCAAAGCCCTAGAAGCCAGTGTTAAAATAAAAAATAAAAAAGCCACCTCAGCCAGGTGCTAGTGGTTCACACTTGTAATCCTAGCTACTCAGGAGGCTGAGATCTGAGGATCACTTCAAAACCAGCCCAGTGAAGGAAAGTCCATGAGACTCTTATCTCCAGTTAATCACCAAAAAACCAGAAGTGGTTCAAGTGGTACAGTACTAGCCTTGAGCTGAAGAGCACAGCCCCTAGGCCCAGAGTTCAAGCCCCACAACTGACCAAAAAAAAAGAAAAAGAAAAACAGCCACCTGGGGCTGGGAAGGTGGCTCAGTGGTAGAGTGCTTGCCTTGCATGGATGAGGCCCTGGGTTCCATTCCTCAGCACCACATAAGCAAAAAGAAAAAAAACCGGAAGTGGTGTTGTGGCTCAAGTGGTAGAGCACTAGCCTTGAGCTGAAGAGCTGAGGGACAGTGCCCAGGCCCAGAGTTCAGGCCCCAAAACCGGACCCCCCCCCCAAAAAAATAGAAAAACAGCCACATCACAGAGTGATCAGTTGTGTGATCTGAATGGTATAGGAAGAATAACACCATAAACCAACTACCAGATGTGGCAGCATACAAGCTAATGTTGACCTTGTTGAGAGGAATTTCTGTAGGATGGGATAGAGGAAACATGGAAAGCCAACAGAAATGGCCTGAGAAAATGGGAGAAGAGAAAATTAAGATAGGAATAAAATTTAAAAAGCTTTCTATTTCTAAAAAGAGTAGTTATGAAAGGGGAAGCATGTTTGTAAACCGGTGGGATTAATGTAATTAATGTAATAGAATGAAAGCTGAGCATATGCAGGAACCTATCTCTGAATAACTGGAAGGATAGATCTGGTACACAAGAAGATGGGCCCTCAGTGAAAAGGCAGTTCAAAGAGGAGATAAATTGGTGGAGATAACTGGTGGAGATAAACTGGTAGAGATCAACTGGTGGACTTGGTGAAGGGAAGACATTCAATTCTCTGCTAATCGTTTCAAGAATATTAAAAATACATGAAACAAAGCCAGCAACTAATTTAAAACATAGTTTTGTGGCTTACTTTTTAAAAATTCAATATATGTCTTCAGCAAGTAAAAAAAGATCACACTTTTATCATTTCTCACTGGTAAAATTTAAAAATTTAAAAAGTGTTTATATAATAAAGAATAATGTACTATTATGTTATCAAAGATTAAATAGTTAACAATTAGAAATGCTGAGAACATTTAATCAAAGGAATTTCAGTAAGCTAAATTCCACAAATAAAATGAATAAATGAGTCACATTAGGGAACATGCTAAAAATTACCAAAAATGTTCACTGTCTTCTTTCAGATCCAACAATATTTTATGATGATATTCCAAGTTACTTCATTTTTAAACCATGACTAATTATAATGTTATTGTTTCCAAAACCAACAATGACTTCACTTCTAAAACATTCTTGTCAGGATAACATTTTCTTTCTAAAACATTACACTCATTCCTTTTAGCCAACTCTAATAGTGAGTCCCCAAAAGTTAAATCAGCTGCATTTTTTTTTGTATCAAATAGGCCAACTGAAATGAGGGAAATGATATGAAGAAATAAATGACTACTTAACTGGTAATATGAAAGAATGCACTCTTGTCAAGAAAGATAGCTATATTTGGGCACATGCCACATTAGTAGGGAAAACAGATATTATTTTATATTTATGCTTTTTGGCTAAAGACTAATATCTTTAGTTTAAATCTAACTGTGTAAAATTTCTTATAAGTCTTACCATTGAATTAGATCACTGTTAAAGTAACAAAATTAAGCAACCTATGCATTCTGATTTCTAATGCTGTTCTCAAACTTTTACCATGGTACTGAAAACAATATTAGATAAAAGTTGGGGCTATGCGTAAAACCTGATATACACTGATTTAAACCAGAAGCTGAATAGAAAGCTGGTATTAAAAGAACACGATTTGCTGAAATGTTATAAAGGGGTAATCGACTAGATTAAAAATAATAAAAGGGCTGGGAAGGTGGCTCAGTGGTAGAGTGCTTGCCTTGCATGGATGAGGCCCTGGGTTTGATTCCTCAGCACCACATAAGCAAAAAGAAAAAAGCCGGAAGTGGTGTTGTGGCTCAAGTGGTAGAGCACTAGCCTTGAGCTGAAGAGCTGAGGGTCAGCGCCCAGGCCCAGAGTTCAGGCCCCACGACCGGACCCCCACCAAAAAAAATAAATAAATAAAAATTATAAAAGACCTGATTTCCTTCTCTGAAGAAGAAAGAAGGATGGCCAATAGACACATGAAGAAATGTTCAACATCCCTAGCCATAAAAGAAATGCAAATCAAAACAACATTGAGATATCACCTCACTCCAATTAGAACGGCAAAAATCAAGAACTCTAACAACAGATGCTGGAGGGGATGTGGACAGAAAGGAACCTTACTTCATTGTTGGTGGGAATGTAAACTTGTTCAACCACTTGGAAAGCAGTATGGAGGTTCCTCAAAAGACTTCACATAGAACTCCCCTATGACCCAGCAATCCCACTTTTGGGCATTTACCCTAATGTTTACAAACAAGACCACACTAAAGCTACCAGCACAACTATGTTTATTGCAGCATTATTTACCATAGCTAAGATCTGGAACCAACCCAGATGCCCCTCAGTAGATGAATGGATCAAGAAAATGTGGTATATATACACAATGGAATTCTATGCCTCCATCAGAAAGAATGACATTTCCCCATTTGTTAGGAAATGGAAAGGCTTGGAAAAAATTATATTAAGTGAAGTAAGCCAGGCCCAAAGAAACATAGGTCCCATGGTTTCCCTTATTTGCAATATCTAGTATAGGTATGAGTCAAGCGAAAAAAGTCAGATAATGTGATGTTAGGAAAACGAACCCTCAAATATGTATTTTAATGTTTTTGTTTCTTTCATGCATGTGTTTCTAACGCATTTATAAGATTATTTCTTTGTTGCTTTGTATGTCCCTCCCCCACAGTGTAACCCCCGCTTTCACTATATTTGATGTCAGTATAACATGTGGAGGAGATGGGGACAAACAAGTCATTTAAGGATTCAGGTGGACCTGTTGCAACAATGAGAAGTACAAAATGTCATGTCAAAACCAGCTTTACAATGTCGGTGTGGGGGGGAGGGGGAGTATGATTGGGTGGGGGGGAGGGGGGAGGCTGGGAAGGGAGGTGAAGGGTAAACAAAGGAGGAGGCTGCAATGCTTGGTAAGAAATGTATGCATTATCCTGCCCATGTAATTGTAACCCCTCTGTACAGTATGTTCTCAAATAAAATAAAATTAAATTAAAAAAAAAAAAGACCTGATTTCCTCAAAAATTAAGGCAAAAGGGGCTGGGAAGGTGGCTCAGTGATAGAGTACTTGCCTTGCATACATGAGGCCTTGGGTTCTATTCCTCAGCACCACATAAGCAGAGAAAACCAGAAGTGGCACTGTGGCTCAAGTGGTAGAACACTAGCCTTGAGCTGAAGAGCTGAGGGACGGCACCCAGGCCTATCATTTAGGCCCCATGACTGACAAAAAAAAAGTTCGTTTTCAACACAGTGTCTTGTACAACTCCTTGTTGCAATGGGTCAGCCTATATCCTTATTTCAGCATTTTATGTTGAAAACAGACTTTACAACTTTGCAGGGTGGGGAGTGCATGGTGGGGGGAAGGGAGAAGTTGGGGAGGTGAGGAGGAAAGGGATGGTAGGGAAAAAACAAAGGAGGGGGTAACAATGCTTGATAGGAAATGGATTCATTACTTTGCTAATTTAACTGTGACCTCTCCGTACCATAGCTTTACAATAAAAAATATATATATTAAAAAATTAATGGCAAGAAAAAAGTAGAAACAAATGTAATTAAAGCAAACCACACTTGCTTAATTGTAATGCTATAGACATTGTTTAGATTGCTTTAAACCAAGCACAATAGATTTTCAAAGTCGTAGCAATCTGAATATAATCTAGCCATTAGATATATTAAGATCTTCCTTTTCATTTTGTTAATATGATAATGAAGGTTTTTAAAAAGTTCTTAAAATTTTTTGAATCTATGAGAATGATAGATGTAGAAACTCAATTAGTAAACTCAATTAGTTACTACTGTAGCAAAAACTTTGTCTTACACCCAGATCTTTTTCAAGAAAAACATTTTTTCTTTTTGGTAGATACTAGAATTCTAAAAATATTATATTACTTGACTTCCTACCTTCAAAGGGAGATATTAAATATACCTCAACTGTGTAAGTATCTGACAACTAAGAGTTTTTTCCCTGTAGCTGTTTTTTCCCATTTAAAGTGTAAACATCTACTAGTCATATAAAACTTTTAAGTATCACCAACATTTTATTAAATTACCATAAATACTGTATTAGAAAACTTACGGAACAGTAGAACTGAGGAACAAACTTGTTTCATGGTTCTCCTCTTGAAACACAGAATGTATTTTCTTTCCTGTAGCTTTGCTTATAGATGTCTTAAGTTTCTTGGCTAGCTTTCTTGGTGTATTGGTTATAGAAGATTCTTCTGCACAGCAACTATATACTTCTACCTTTATCTGAAAGTCTGGTCTTGCTTCGTCACTAAAGATAAATATTTTTAAAAAGACATGAACAGTGTTAGACATTTAACTGAATAGAAAATAAAATGACAACGTTCTTTGAGCTTTTCAGAACATACAAAATGGCATTTAAAACATTCATAATGAAATGGGTTTATTCAGTATGTTAGAGGCCTATGAATTACTACAGATTTTATCCCAGATTCCACACTAAGGCATCCTTAACTCAAACCAATACATGGGCATATTACTTACAGAGAAAGAATAAAATGCTCTAGTCATTTTGTTGCCAACGTTACGTTTCAGTCCTTTAGTGCTATTCTTCCAAATCAAATCTGTTGAATGTTTAATTTTCTTCATAGTCACTTACAGCCCACTTACCACTGTGCATACCCACAACATTTTTGTACTTAACAACTGTAAACATTTCACTATTTGGTCTTATAGAAAGCATGAACTACTTGAGGGCAGGCACTATCTTGATGTTTTCTGTATCAATATAGCACTCTACCTAAAACTAGAGGATGTTTGATACACATTAAACCTATATACAGAAATTATATAATTTTAGTCAATGCTAAAAGTGACATCTGTTTTCAGACATAATAAACTACCTTTAGCATGGAATACTTGTAGGATTACTAATGATAAAATACACTACAGAATATATCTATCTGTAGCAGATATTCCTGCAGGTGGAAGACCCATCAGCCTAAGAGACTTGAAATTCAGCATAGACTTTACAAAATTTGAATGGTCTATTAATAGTTCAGATAAATCCAAAGAATAACTTCAGATATTTTTATGGTTTATTATTTGGCAACTTAAAAAAATACGGTATTCCTGGTAATGACTAACAAATGTCAATATTTAGAGGAGAAAAGAGATATTCATACACATTGAATACTTATTGAAAACAATCATCATAACAAAAACCACATTTTTAACATTTAGAACATTTGTTAGTTATTTTAGGACAATTTAAAGTATTTACAGAATAAAAAAAAGATAGATCATGCGTTGTCTTCCCAAGTGATTTATATTGTTCATTCCCTGGGGGGGGGGGGGGTGTCTGCATTTTTGTCTCTGCAGTTAAAAAAACAACAACAACAAAAATAGCAAAGTGAAATGAAGAGTCCATTCGAAGGATAATTTTGGCAGAAAAAATTAATTAGCAATAGTTGGTAATGAAAATAAATCTACTCAGATAACTGAGTGAAAATTTTTTTTAGTTTGAATTATGTAAGCATTTAGGGATTATTATTATGTTTGTTTGTTTTTGGTGGAGGAGAGAATCCTAAATAAGTGCCTATAGTTTTATAGAGGTTGTAAGAAGGCCTGGATTACTGTTAATAACCAGAACAATACAGTTTATTTTTCAGCACTACACAATTATTATAGGACGCTGGACTAGAAGCCACAAAATATAGTTTTCTAGAACATTTTCAGTATTATGTGAACAACAAAACTAGTCCTCAGAAATCACAACTGTGACTCCATTGCTGAAAACAGCAAAACCCATGTATATTGATTTTATCTTAACAGTTCAGCAGCTATTAACATTTAGATATGAAGATAGAATCTTCAAAAGTCTAAAATAAACACAAATCCCATGCTGGCTTAAGCCGATAGAACATTTGAAAAAGACCAGGAGAAACTTATATTAGTTAAAAATGATTTCTATGGCTACCTGAGGAGTTCTCTCTCTGGTTCTGTATTATGACCACAATAAAATGAGCCTGTAAAAGCGCAGGGGCAATAAAAACAGCCTCAAGGAGTGGTTTTTTTTTTTTTTTTTTTTACTGCTGTAGAGTACATGAACGAAGTACACCATAAGAAAAAGCATACTCTACAAATTTATCAAAGTATTTTCCCTACGATACATACTTTAGGGCAATTTTACAAATAAAATTACTTAATTATTTCATTATATCTATAACTGAATTTCCTATATGATGTAGAAGAATCTGTCTTACACCTAAATTCACTCTATATCAAAACTAGTAAAATAAAATTCTACTTTATCCATAGCATATTCATTTAAAATTTTTCAAATTTTTATTATATTAAACACGTAAATATTTACTAATATTAATGTTAAGTTTTATCTTTTAATCAGAAAATTGAAAATGAAGAAATGGGCTTCTTCTGAAAAGAGAAATTTTCAAAATCACTTCAAGAGCTTTTAATAAAGATTCTTCACAAAGAAGCCAAGGATCCAACATTTAGGCCATAAGAATCCAAAGACATAATAATTAGGCCTTAAAAAATGTAGAACTTTAGGTTATTGACATTCTCTGAAGATTAAAGATACTTACAATATGGTTATGTTTTCAAAACATATATCTGTGATTGTTTTATCCACTATAATCATGTCAGTATCAAAAACTTTAGCTCCCATTTTGAATAAACAGAAAATGGCATAGCGTGGTGATCCTAAGGAATAAACACAACATTTTAAGCAATAATACATACCATCAATCATATTCACATATCTTAAAATCACCCTGAAAGTGACATATAATAGGTTGTTAGTAGATTGCTATTTTCAAACATTGAATATTTGACCATTTTCAGTGGCTTTTCTGGAAGTACATAGTAATAACTGTCCCACCTAGAACCTAACTTTAACCAGGAAGTTTCCAAACAAAGTTCAACATGCAGCACTCTCAGCAGCCCAAGGGAATCACCAAAGTCATACATTTTATTACTCAAAATCTCTTTAAGCCTTAACTGTCAAGTTATTACATATATTATAAAAATATAATATACAATATATTTCCAAGTCTATTTAAGAAAAAGATGGTTTTTATTAGAAGAGTTTAAGAGTAGGCAGATTAACAACAGTAAAATATTTTCCACCACACTAAAAACAAGAAGGAAACCACACACACACACACACACACACACACACACACACACACCAATAAAAAAATATACATGGAAACACACAGACAAAAAAAAAACATAGCTGCTAGGCCTTTTAATCTGGTGACATTTTAAGAATATTAGGTGATGGTTTAAAAAGTATTAGGTGATTAAAGAGTGGCATTTTCTCATTATTAGAAAAACATACTCTGTATAGTAGTAATCAGGAAGACTTACTTAATTTCCACATGCATTCCTTTGTAAAGTGAATTATATTTCCTAATTGAATAACAAACACTAACCTAATTTTAAATTCTTCATATAAAACTAATTATGCTCAATATGGTTCAGTTTTAAAGTAAGAGGAACAAAGCTATCACAATAGACAAGAAAGATAAAGGATTATCATATTTTTCTGGTTTGCCTCTAACAGCTAGAAATCATTTGAGGTTAATTTCCATGACCTAAGCAATACATAGATTTGTGAAGACTAATAAAACCATAAAATAGTGAAGGAAAAAAATAATCAGATCAAGCTCAAAATCGTTCTTCATTACATCCTGTTAAATAATCAGAAGTCGCAAAATAAAGCAGAAAAGACCTCCCAGATTCTGGCCAGCAGAAAAAATGCTGCCTTTGCTTCTTAAGCATTTTCTTTTGTTTCATTATTTCCTCCGATTTCTCTACTCTAAACCCATTACTTGGTGTCCTTGCTCAAGTTCCTATCAACAACAGGAAAGTACACTTGGAATGCATTATCTTAATCAGTATCAAGGATCCAACATATTTACACACAAGCTCAAAGAAACAACAGATCCATGTGATTCAGCTTATTCTGCCAAATGTATCAACTGATTTCAGTGTGGAAAATTTTTTTTCTTTAACAAAAAATTTACTAAACACTCCAGGCGCCTATGGCTCATACCTGTAATCCTAGCTACTCAGGAGGCTGAGACCTGAGTATCATGGTTCAAAGCCAGCTCAGGCAGGAATGTCCATGAAACTCTTATCTCCAATAAAACACTTAGAAAACCAGAAGTGGTAAAGCTCTAGCCTTGATCAGAAAAACTGAAGGATAGCACCCAGATCCAAAGTTCAAGTTCCATGACTGACCAAAAAAAAAAAAGAATTACTATACACTATAGAAAGTATTTCAATTACAAATCAAAATCGCAATACCTTCTTTATAGCTGAAGTGATCAGAGTCTTTCCACATTAGTGGTATTCGGATGTCTGCAAAGGGGAAAAAATAGTAAGCAATTATTTTGGTTAGCTTGATTTCAAACATTATATCAACTTTTGAGTTATTTAATAAATTTTTTACTACAAAAGCCAAACATGAAATGTATCATTTAACACCACATTTTCTAGTTTCTGTTTATGATTTGTATTTTTAAAATTTATTTAATATGTGACATTTTGGGATATGTGACATTTTGGGATATGTAAAGAAAACATAAACTTTTTTGGTAGAAATATAAACATTATTTTTGTAGAAATACTCTATTGCACAAGTACACCTTCACTTTCTCATTGATTTATACTATGATCTTAATCATATATGCTACAGGAAATGGTCCTTGACTATGAATCTTATGCATTCAATCGAATTACTATACATCTGAATACTAACACTACACTTGCCTTAATCTTGATAGGTACTCTATTGCTGAACTATGCCTTCAATCCTTTTTTGCACTGTGTGTGTGTGTGTGTGTGTGTGTGTGTGTGTGTGTGTGTGTGTGTGTGTGTGTGTGTTCAAGGCTAGTGATTACTAGGTGGGCCATAGCTCCACTTCCGGCTTTTCGATGGTTAATTGAAGACAGGAGTCTCTGTCCTACCCAGGCTGGCTTTGAACCTTGAACCTCAGATCTCAGCCTCCTGAGTAGCTAGGATTACAGGCGTGAACCACTAGTGCCCAGCTTGTACTGGTTATTTCTGAGATATCCTCTCACCTTTGCCCAGGTGCATGCGTGGGGTATAATCAGCCTATTTTAGACCTTCCTATCATAAACAGGATGACAGGCATGCACCACAACACCTAGCTGCTTTATTTTTCATTGAGTTAGAGACCCATTAACTTTTATGCCTGGTGCAGCCTAGAGCCACAATCCTTTTAATCTCGCCTTCCCACACGGCTGGAATGACAGGCTGGAATGACAGGTACACGCCACAGTATCCTACTATTGGTTGAGTAAGCATCTTGCACGTCTGCCTAGGCCAGCCTTGAACCTTATTCTTCCCAATCTCAGCCTTGTAGGTATCTAGAATTACAGGCATGAATCACTAGTACCTCGCTTGCAAGTTAATATTTATTAATATAATAATATTTTCTTTATACAATGTGTTGACCTTTCTTTATTTTTTTAAGAGGAAGTTTTTTTCAGCACTGAAGATCATGGATCCATGCTAGGCGAAAGCATGCAGCTAATGTAAAGTAGTCTAAGGTATTTAATGCTTTGTTTATATCACAAAGATTTTTCCCATTGTATTTGCTAGTTATTGGTTTTGAAATATTACCACTTTTATATATTTATCTTAAATACAGCCTTTTTTTTTACTAAATTATTTATTAAGTCAAACAGTGTTTCAGAAAATTCCCTTAGGCTTTACAGTCTGCAATCCAATTATCCTCAAATAGGATTCAATTTGTCTATTCATTTTCAATAATTTCATCTATTATTTTTGCCAGGATTTCCAAAAGTGTTAAATTATATTGACATAATAGACATTGTTATTTTGTTCTTGATTTTGATGAGAATGCCTTTATTGTTTTGTAATTATTACTTGGCTGATGTCCTGTCAGAGTTCACTTCTTCTTGCTTGACCACAGTTGCTGACTCATTCCATTTCACAACTGTTTTTGTTCACAGCTGTTCTTGCTCTGCTGGGATGGCATTAACTATTTACTCCATCCTGGAAGGAACATGGACCCTGACTTCCTTTGCTGTACACCCAGAGTCTATGGGTCCATCTTTCCTCCCCCTTTCCCTAGCCTAGTGATGTCATCTCCCCAAGAGGAAAAGGTGGATATTTCTTATCTACTCCCCAGAGGGTCATAGACTATTTAGATAGCATGGGATAGGTAACCCAAGTCAGTTTCAAATGGTTGACTCACTGTTCACAGTCATCTTACCTTTCTTTGTGTTTTCTTAAGTCTTCATTGATATTTAATGGGAAACTGAATGAGCTGTATCAGGACAGATAGCTTGATGTTATCAGGTCCTTAAAGACTAGCTATCAATCTCAAAAGTGAAAGCCTATGAGGTACATGATTAAATGATCAGTTTAGTCATTTCATTAGTAGTTAGTGAAAAAGCCAGGAATATTACCATGGGTAAATTTTGTTTTTAATGAAGATCTGGTCAGTGAGTAGGGAAGCTGGAAATGGAAAGTCCATGTCTGTCCTGGCTAGCAGGGCAATCTTTCAAACATTATATAACTTTGTTACAAATATGCTTTTTTTCTCATAAATAAAAGCCACATTTTCATCCCAATGTCAAAAGAAAATCCATTTATAAAGATGAATTCATTTTTAATTTTCTTTGTTTTTATAATATGCAGACAAGATACAATGAAGTCTAGGTAAATATGAAAAGAAATTGTAAAAAAAAAAAAAGAAATTATGGATCCTATCTTCTGAGTTTCAGTTCCTTAATTTAAAATGATCTTTTGGAAAGAAGGAACACATGAATAAACAAATTTGTTATATGTATTTCAAGTCATCAAGTTTTCTTTCACTTTAAATGGTTTTATATGAGTCCTCTTCTAAATGTACAATTGTACATTGCCAATTGTAGCAATACATAAACTACTGAGATTGACAACAGATGTTGACTATCTTGGAATTTGGGTGTTCACTAGCAAGTTCGCCCACCTTAGGTGTACATTCAGTGGTGCTATATTAGAAACAAGAAAAGGAGAATCTTGTTTAAGTATTAGCATAAAATCTCTTTTAAAGATCTTTATTAATGTAAAAATGAACTTAAATATTATGAACAATTACTATGTTTGGCAACAAAGAGATACAAGGGGATATGGAATATATTGTATGTCCCAATTTTTAATTACAAAGATGAAAACATGAATATAAACACCTATAAAACTGGTAATAGACTTTACATATTTCAGTTAATTTTCTGAAGTATTGTTTGCTTAGCTGAAGGCAATTTCTTTCCTTTTAGTCAGTGATGTCCTAAATAAAGACCTATCCTTTCTGTACGGAAATTTTTGTTTAGTTATAAAGTAGTGGTGAACTGGAAATGGAAAACATACTTGAGTGACTGGGCCTAAAAATAGCAATAGACTTTGTAATACAAGGCTTTGGCCAATAGAAAGTACGTGTATCTTAAAGACTGATGGAGATATAAACTGTTGTTTCCAAAATGTAGTGATATAATATTTGTAAAAGTGCATTATTATAATAGTATACACACAGTCGACTGTGTATTGACTTCAATCCAAGCCATTGTCTTCAGCTTCCTTAACACTTTGGAGAAACTGAGACTACACAGCATAAGTGCCATCTAGTGGTAAAGGGTCTTCTTAACTGTGCTAGTAATTCAAAGAAAGGACAGATTTATATTTGGAATGGTAATGGTAGGCTTTATCAATAAACAAACAGATCTTGGAGAAAATATATTTCTTACACAAGCTAATTAGGTATCTGAAATATAGAGTGTATTTACAGGAAAAGGAGAAAAATGTGTGCCTCAAGTAAATGGCTTCTGTAGAGGAATAATGAAATATTGGCCAGGGAAAAGAATTGGTTCAGAATGGAAAACTAAGGAGAATTCTGGCCTTTATCCTACAGGCAATGAAGAGCAGTGGCCATCCAGTAATACTTACTTAGCAATTACTAGGTGCCAAGCGCTGTGTTAAATTTTGGGTATAAAGTGAGAAAATAAACATGGGACTAGATTCTCACAGAATTTAGTTTAGATAATCCTTTCCTTTTTCTAGAAAAGGAGTGGAAGTGAGAGTTGGACAACTTGGGTTTGTAGACCAGCTCTGGCACATAAAGGAAGTCATTTAGCCACCAAGTCTGTAGAAGTGAGAAAAACTATTTCATAAGGCTGCATTAAGGAGAAAACTATATAGTATGTATAAGGCATGAAATGATTTTCTCAAACTATAAAGTTCTATACAAATATAGAGCATAATGATAAAAATACTTATTAATGAATACTCTGATAAAAGGCATGAGAGATAGAGACTTGAAGCAGAAAAATAAAGCAAAATTGATCAACTCTAGTTAGTTTATGTATCTACTCAGCAATTAAAAAAAATTCATTTGTTCATACCTGATATGGCCACTTTTCCTTTGCATGGTGTTCGTTGTTTATTTTCAAAATTTACATCACTGTTAAACAAAACACAAAACAAAACCACTTAGAAAGAAAAAAATCAGAGGGGTGGAGAAGTAGTCATGTGCACTAGTACTGGGGCTCGAACTCAGCGCCGGAGTCATTTTCCCTTACCTTCTTCAAGACTGGTGCTGAAACACTTGAGCCATAGCTCCACTTCTGGATTTTGGTGGTTAACTGGAGACAGAGTCTCAAGAACTTTCATGCCTATGCTGGCTTCAAACCATGATCCTCAGATCTCAGCCTCCTGAGTAGCTAGGATTACAGGCGTGAGCCATTGCACCTAGTAAAATCTTTTCTATTAAGTAACTGCTTTAAGTCTTTCACAAATATCTGAATATTAATATATGGCCATATGAATAATAAAACAGTTAATATAAAGTATTTGACTCCAAGGTATTTAGTAAACAGCTAGCTGGCGAGGTTTGAGAGCAATTCTCCATTTTTCATAAAAATTTGTATTCCCTAATGATGTATATGAGTTACTCTATAATACTAGTCTTCATTAATTTATAAATGAGATGTATCATATGTGCAGGTTCCTCAAAGTGTTATACCTTGGATCACTATTACATAAATTTTATTGATTTTTAGATACAATGGCCTAAAAATGTAAATGTATGTCCCAAACACATAATGTGTTGTCCAAGACCAACTTATCCTTACAGAATCTGGAATATATAAAAAAATTACTCTGATGAATAGTTATGTGTTGTTAATATCATATTTCATTTTTCTAAATTCTAAAAGAACTTACTAGATACCAATCCAACAATGAACTAAGTAAGATGGGGAAGGGAAGCATAAAACAAAGAAAGGAAAATATTACTATGACAACAGAAAAAAGTTTCTAAGTTAATGCTGGAGATATATGACACTTCCTAATCTGATTTTAGAACATACAATCATAAACATACTGTCATAAAAATACTTCCAAAATAGATCAGAACAATTTACCATTCTGGAATATTTCCCTAGTATCTTGTTTCTTAATAATCTGCATTTAGAGATTAACATTCCATTTCTAAAGCAATATTTCCAAGCAAACTCCCCGTATTTTTATCAACTCTTTGTAGTTTTTAGCCTTATTCAATTTAGTTAGCTCATCAACTGCTAGCTAATTTAATTAGAAAATTCAAATACAAGATTAGATGGAAATTTTCCACTTGAGTACTGTTTGTTTCTAAGAGTTTGTGGAGAAAGACTACCTAGAGAAAGACTGCACAGAGTTAAAAGTGGGAAGTTATCTAACTAAATTTTCAGAAAAGGATGTCACAATTTCATTGTTTCCTATAGCTTTGTTTTAAAAAAGCATAGATATATATTCATTATCATGCATCCAAATTTGAAAACAAAATACATGATTTGTATTACCTCCTAACTGGATTAAAAATAAAGTATCATGGGGGAAGTATGTTCCAAATGAGCTAAAAATAATTTACTGACATCCCTGACACGCTTACATGGGACATTTACATGGGACATTTACATGGTATTTACAGAATCACATTCTAGCTATACTTAAATAATGTAATAGATTTAAAGTCATACATTTTCAGACCCTACCCAATGGCTTTATGTATTTGGAAAATTCATTCAGTGACAAATATAAGTATTCATCAATTATTTCAAATGTTTCATTGAATCATAAATTCAAGCGTAAAGTTCAATATTAAAGTTTAATTTTTCAAACTAGTACAAGAAATACTGTATAAATGTAGTTGGTTGGCATTTGTAAGTGATATCTTAAAAAAATAAATCTATATGAACAAGGCACAGTATAAATTTTTAAGAGTATTATGTCATTTTAGATTTTCAAGAAAGCTTAAAGATGGTGGGTAACTTCATAGGTCTAGATTATGTTAAAGTTGAGATCCACTGGGCATTACTAAATTGGATTAGATGTCAGGCTTTGGCAGGCAAATTAAATTCTGAAATACCCAAACCACCAAAACCAAATTTGCCAAATATTTACTGAAAAATATTTTCCCCTCCAAACTTCTCTACTACCTGGCAGAGTACCACTTTCTGCAATCAAATTATTTGCAGTGGCATTTCCAGGGCCAGCCAACAAACTTATTACATACAAATACAAATATTATCAAACTATAATATAAAGCCAGTAAACCATATTAGCTTGCAAAATAATTAAGTCTGTGTTTTAAAAAAATAAAAACTCAGCCTCATTTTCTCATGAGTGAATTATTTTCAGTTCAAATAGCTCCCCAAACAGTTATTTAGTTTGCAAAACTGTGATATTTTCCTAATTAATCCAAATTGAAAATAAAATGTTTAAACATTATCTACTTAATAATGTGCTACTGTAGCTAATAGTTTGCTACAGTTAAATAAATACTTGTTCGAAAATCTGCAATATTCATGTCAATTCTGAATGCTACAATTAAAGCCAATCCAAGGAAAAAGCAAATAACCACAAAATTACTGAAGCAGCATACAGCTAAATAATAGTGTACCTTATTCATATGAATCCAGTGTAAAACATTATTTTGGGGAGACCCATAAAAGCTAATTTAAGAAATTAACATACAGAAGACAAACATAACATTATTACTCACATTTCTGCCTTTAGGTAAACAATATGACCAACAGAGGGTGCCAACTTGCCACTTTGTTCCCCAAAATCTGTATTAAAATCTTCTGAGTATGTCAGTCCCTATTTGATACTGTTCTATGTTTGGGAATTTAAAATGTAATTTCTTTACCAAAATTAACAAGCTATAATGAAAAATCACACAATGTTGAGACTATTTCAAACTTTCTTAATGAAATAATAATAGGATTCTAAATGTTATTCTATTATTTGATAATAGGTTACAAAATCCTTCACCTTTCATGCAAATAAATGAAAACTAAATATTCAGAAATACTTAATATGAAGTCAGGCACTGGTGACTCACACCTTAAATACTAGCTACTCAGGAGGCTGAGATCTGAGAATGCAGTTCAAAGCCAGTCCGGACAAAAAAAAATTATGAGACTCTTATCTCCAACTAACCAACAGAAAATTGGAAGTGGCACTATGTCTCAAAGTGGTAGAACATTAGCCTTCAGCAAAAAAGAGTTCAGGGACAGTGCCTAGGCCAACAAGAAGAAAGAAAGAAAGAAGGAAAGAAGGAAGGAAAGAAGGAAAGAAAGGAAGAAAGAAAGAAAGAAAGAAAGAAAGAAAGAAAGGAAGGAAGAAAGAAAGAAAGAAAGAAAGAAAGAAAGAAAGAAAGAAAGAAAGAAAGAAAGAAAGAAAGAAAGAAAGGAAGAAAGAAAGAAAGAAAAGAAAGAAAGAGAAAGAAAAGAGAGAAAGAAAGAAAGAGAAAGAAAAGAGAAAGAAAGAAAAAGGAGAGAAGGGAGGGAGGGAGGGAAGGAAGGGAGGAAAGAAAGAAAAAAGACAGAAAGAGAGAGAAAGAAGGAAATGCTTAGAATGAAATTCTAAGCTGTCCTAAAACTATGTGGCATAAAATTAAGTTACATAAATATCTTAAATTCTAGTCTAAATATGATATAAGCTCTTTTCAACAGACACCAGCTATTTAAAAATTTAAGATATAAAATTAGAAGTGACTTTATAAGCACATTTCATTATAGAATTACTAAAAATACAAAAAATTTTAACTTCCAATCTACATGGCTTGTTTTTCTTCTTTTAATTTATAAAGTAATAAACTAGGAAACTGCAATATAAGAAACTAGCATCGTAATCACATAAAACTTGCAGTTATTTTGGTACTATTAAAAAAATCACAATTTTGTTGAATGATACATAATTAAGTTCTATAAATGACTGTAATTAACATTATTTTTACAAAGCCAAATAAAGCATTTCAGAACTTAAGTCAACAAGAGACAGATTGGGTGAGGAGGAGAATGAATGGATGGTACTGCTAAAATGTGAGGCGTGGGAGTACAGAGAATTTTTGGTGGGGGAGGGGCCTATTAACATTCATTGCTATATAACAAGTCCCTGATATACAGAACAGTATATTTCAAGCACTCAGTGTGTATCTGGGGGCTGTTGAGTGTGAAATGAACTAAGGATATGGTTATTTTGATGGAGCTACAGTAGATATGGACTCGAGCTTTATTCATGTTTCAATTTTACTCATCCATAACTATGTTAATGAGTTACTATTAACCTGTTAAAACCAACAGGCTTAGCTGAAAAGTGGACAAAGTATCTCACAGAGCTACTGAATGATTAATACTTTAATGCGTTCTGTGTCATTCTTAAAGATGTTACATATTTTATGTTAAATAGAAGAGGCACTAAACTATTTGCTAAGGTGATCAAAGTATGACTTGCCAATTCTTGTATAATTGTGGTAGCTAGCTAAACCAAATTATCATTACATCTCCTACATAAAGCCTTCAGTTCAATAAGGGAAATATCCTCTCCAACTTAAACCAAAAACATAAGTAGAAATACACAGGACTAATATTTACATGCAAATGGATAAACTAGTATCTGAAGCCATAAAAGCCAGCCCCTGCTGGTTTTCCCCAAGTAAAGAATAAACCATTAGTTGATATTCTACTCCCTAGACGAGGAGACAATCGCTGTGAAATGTGGTGGATTCCACTCGCCAGCTCCTAGGGAGTTGAAAACAACTCTGGTTCAAGAGTTCACATTGTAAAGGAGAGATCCTTTGGAGGTTTGCCATGAAAACAATAAATAAAATGAAAGAAGTTTAACTCAAAAATCTCAAAACAAGTAATTTCAAGGATCAGAAAACCAATCAACTAGCATCCTCAAACTGCAGTTAAGAAAATAGGTCACTGGAAGTGGAGCTGTGTCTCAAGCGGTAGAAAGCTAGCCTTGAGTGGAAAAGCTAAGGGACAGTGCCCAGGCTCTGAGTTCAAGCCTCAGTACAGGCACCAAAAAATAAACAAGGGGGCTGAGAAGGTGGCTCAGTGGTAGAGAGCTTGCCTTGTATGCATGAGGCCCTGGGTTTGACTCCTCAGCACCACATAAGCAAAAAGAAAAAAG